AAGCAAATTATGAGTTACCTTACATGTGTATACACACCGTCATATGTGTATAACGAATCAAACTGTTTACCCAATGACATAGAAAAGAATTCATTCAACAAGATGAAACAGAACTGTTTAAAAATATAAATATCTTTAAACATCGGTATAGCAAGGAGGAAACTCTCTCTCTAGTGAAGTGGAATAGAGGCGAATATCTGCAACAAGAAAACTACTATAAAAAAAAGGGGAGAGAAGTTGTCTTAAAAAAAACACCTGCAGGAAGATTCCGCTCATCACATCTACTTGTTAAACATATGTTAGACACGTGTACATACCCCGCCTGCCCTGGCCGACCGCCTCTCAATCATTGGGCACGGCTCAATAACTCTCAAAGTTATTCTTACCAGCTAGAAAAAAAATGATAAAAGCAACATGAGTTAGGCTACTTGAGGTTAAAATAATATTTAGTGCATTAAAAAAAAGGATATGTTACAAAAATTAACACGTGCGTGTTGTAAGTATGTCATACACATATTAAAGAGACAAGGTGCAAATTAAATGAAAATATATTACAAATCGGTTCACTCTAACAAAAACATATATATATATATAGCAAGCATGCTAATATCTATCCATATCTATTCATATAACACACTGAATGTGTGTCAACTTATATATATATATATATATATATATATATATATATATATATATATATATATATATATATATATGTATATATATATATATATATATATATATATATATATATATATATATATATATATATATATATATGAAACATGTGCCTTGACAATTTAAATAACCTGCAAAACAAACAATAAAAAGTAAATATAAAACAGCTAACACAAAAGAAATCAGATATCTGAGAGAATTAAAAGTTCAAAAATATTAATTTAAAGTTAAAAAGAATGAAAGAAAAAAACAAGAGAGTCAAAAACAAAAAAACAAACGCAAAAATAAATCTAAAAGCGAAAACAAATAAAAGAATAAAAAAGGAAATATTATAAATTCAAACAACAGACTAAAAAAGTACAAAACAGCTGGTTAGCGTGTTCTGAACCCGGATGTTGAAATAAGTTTTATAAAGATCAAAATAATAAAAGTTAGAAATGAATGTGTGTGTGTGTGTGTGTGTGTGTGTGTGTGTGTGTGTATGTGTGTACTCACATAGTTGTGCTTACGGGGGTTGAGCTTTGGCTCTTGGGTCCCGCCTCTCAACTTTCATTCAACTAATGAACAGGTTTCTGAGCCTATTGGGTTCTATCATATCTACACTTGAAACAGTATATGGAGTCAGCCTCCCCCACATCACTTCCTAGGGCATCTTAGTTGTCTACTACTCTGACACTGAAAAAAATCTTTCTGACGTCTCTTTGGCTCATTTGGGCACTCAACTTCCACCTGCGTCCCCTATTGCGTGTGCCCCTTGTGTTAAATAGTCTAGGCTTTATCTACCCCTATCAATTCCTCTGAGAATCTTGTATGTGGTGATCATGTCCCCTCTAACTCTTCTGTCTCCCAGTGACGTGAGGTTTAATTCCCGTAGTCTCTCGTAGCTCATATCCCCCAGTTCGGGTGTGTATTGGTGTGTGTGTGTGGGGGGGGGGGGGGGGTTGTTTGCGCGTCTGTGCGCGCGCTAATAATGAAGCTAAAATATCAGTTGGTCGATACGACTGCTCTTATTGCGGGCTCCCAAATTGGTGTATAGATTACGCAAACTTGGGCAGCGGCAGCGGCGTTCCGGGCGTCTGACGTCGCTAATGGTCGGGAAAATGTCATTTGATTCCATTACAGGTGTCACGGTTTTAGTGTGTGTGGAGGGAAGGGTGGTGGAGGGTATGAAGGGAAAGGTACTAGACGGGAGGGTACTGGAAGGGGAGGATGTCGGAGGGTAGGGTTCTGAGGGGGAGTGTGCAGGAGGGGAGGGTGTTTAAGGAAGGGGCGCGTTCATAGTTGGAGTTTGTTTCAAAAGTAGTATTATTAGTAGTTAGAAGAGCTACACACACACACACACACAAACACACACACACACACACACACACACACACACACACACACACACACACACACACACACACACACACACACACAGGCCCACATCAGAAGGATATCATCAGCGGTATATGCTAGACTGCCCAACATAAGAAGTGCCTTTAGAAACTTGTGTAAGGAATCGTTCAGGACCCAGTATACCACTTATGTCAGACCTTTCTTGGAATATGCAGCGCCAGCCTGGAGTCCATACCAAGTTAGAGGCAAGACAAAGTTAGAGAAGATTCAGCGGTATGCCACCAGGCTCGTCCCGGAACTGAGAGGAATGAGCTACGAGGAAAGGCTAAAGAAGCTGAACCTCACGTCCTTGGAAAACAGAAGAGTAAGGGGAGACATGATAACCACCTACAAAATTCTCAGGGGAATTGACAGGGCGGACAAAGACAAACTCTTCAGCACGAGTGGGACACGAACACAAGGACACAGGTGGAAACTTCGCACCCAGATGAGCTACAGACACGTTAGAAAGAATTTTTTCAGTGTCAGAGTAGTTAATAAATGGAATGCTCTAGGAAGTGATGTGGTGGAGGCTGACTCCATACACAGTTTTAAGTGTAGATATGATAGTGCCCAGTAGGCTCAGGAACCTGTACACCCGTTGGTTGAAGGTTGAGAGGCGAGACCAAAGCGCCGAAGCTCAGTCCCCGCAAGCAAAACTAGGTGAGTGCACACACACTCACTCTCGTTCAATCTTCCCCTACAGCCCATCTCTAACCCTGAAGGAATGACTGATCTTCGTTATTCTCTCAATAATACCACCGTTTGTGTTGGCCAAATGAGCCTACATTAGCCTGAGCCTCGACAATAGGCACGAGGCCTTCCCTCTCCGACGGAGCTCCCTACAAAATTTATGATAACAGCTTTTTCTGACTTTGGGGGGAGGGGGGTTCTTTCAGAGTGATTGATATTAACATTGTCGAAGCATAAAACGAACGAAAAGTTAAGTCCTGGCCTTGGATTGGTTACTTTCTTAATTAAAATCAGTTTTCATTTTCGTGTTTAAGTTTTACGATATTATCGTTCAATGTAGATGAATTCTGGCGATAATGATCAGGATGAGGACACAGATTGTAATTATATTCTTAATATGTTATACAATTATATTAAATAATAATAACGATAATAAATGAATAGTAATTTCATAGTATTCAAATGATATAACTCAACATCAATATGTTTAATTATCTCTACTCCATGCTTAAGTACTTTCAAGTTTTCAGGGCAAAGCAACCCTATTTCATCGAAGGAGTGTTTTTTAGTTAATTATGTGTTCAGCTACAAATCTATAATGTGACTCAGCCATTCAAGGGAGACTCGCAAGAAGAACTCGCATTTAATGAAAGGACGGAGTCTCCTCGCCCTGGAAACAGAGAGGGTTTTTCCCCGGATGATTGTATGATGAAGATTAAGCCTATACAAGAGGTGTCACGGGCATGTGTAGCCCCGTAAGCTGCTTGAAGTAAATGTGATCTTTCGTCGAAAGTGACACTTGAAAGTGTCTCTGGGCCTGTGGTTCCCTCTGACACTGCCCCCTAGCTTTATACCTTTCCAGTCTGATTCAACTTTCTCTCTTCTCTCTCCGGCCCATCCAAAAATTCTCTTCATCACACCTTAAAAGCAACTGTAATTGTCTATGCTTCTGCTCACTCTCCGCCTTGTACACCACCCTTCCCCTGTACCTTGACACCATTTAACAGCACCGTGACTCTTATTCTCCATCGTCCCTCATATATCCAAAATAGTCTATCCAGAGGACCTTCACAAACCATCCACAATTGCATTTTCATCCATATCGAGCTACGTTTATCCTCCATAGTACACGCTATCCCTTGAAGATCTTGCCCCCTCTCCTCCACCTCCTCTTCCTCCTTCCCCTCCACTCCTCCTCCTCCCCCTTCTCCGTCATTCCGACCACCTCGTATATTATCCCTTAACACACCATCTCCCCTAAACCCCTTACTCCCCCACCCTCTCCCATTGTTCCATAAACCTATTCCATTTATCGCCCCTTATTTTGGTTAAGTGGCGAGAGCAAATCACGTCTTACTACCCCCCTTCCTCGCCACTTTTACCCCTTTTTCCACCTCCCTTTTCTCTACCCTCTCCCCCTCTCCGCTCTCCTAGTCTTATCACTAGTGTTGTGTTGAAGTACAATCGCTTTCCGCAGCATCGTCTTTCAAGCCCATAAAGAGTTCTTGGCGGCCTGTCTGTAGCGTTCATTGCTTCCCGTTTTTAAATGATAAGGTGGTAGAAGTGCGTGCGTGCGTGCGTGCGTGTGTGTGTGTGTGTTTGTGTATGTGTGTGTGTGTGTGTGTGTGTGTGTGTGTGTGTGTGTGTGTGTGTGTGTGTGTGTGTGTGTGTGTGTGTGTGTGTGTGTGTGTGGGCGCACGCTCGAGCCTGTGCTTGAACCTCGTAAACAACGCCAAGAAGGTATAGAAAACCTCGCTAGAGAAATACGAAGCCTGGGAACCTAAAGTGTCTATGATGTTTTCAAGTCTTGAAGCATCCAAGAAGGTCTGTGGTCTTAGAGCGCCCAAGATGGCCTGGGGTCCTAAAGGTCCGTAAGGACCTGGGGTCAAAGAGGACCTGAGGGGGCTAGGGGGTCCAAGGGCGCGTGATGGGGGGGAAGGGAGAGCCGAGGCATCCCATAAGTAGGCGTAAATGAGAGACGAGGGACGGGCGTGGAAACCCTCATCACAGCAAGACGCTTTCTTATCGGTCACCCGGAGACAGATAGAACCTTGGAGGGGGGGGAGGGTGGGGGGTGGGGGGTGGAGGAAGCTGCAAGGAGAGGGGAGAAATACTCTCTCTCTCTCTCTCTCTCTCTCTCTCTCTCTCTCTCTCTCTCTCTCTCTCTCTCTCTCTCTCTCTCTCTCTCTCTCTCTCTCTCTCTCTCTCTCTCTCTCTCTCTCTCTCTCTCTCCCTTGATTAACGGCACTTACTGATCATTGTGTCTCCTCCTCTCCACCCTCCCCCAACATGCGCCATGTTATCCAAGATTAAACACACCGACCGACAAATTGATTTTTCGCTTTTATAGGAGGATCTAATTATTTTTCGTGCTGAACTGGAGAAGTCTAAAAAAGATAATAATTAGCGAATCGGTGAAACATTTAAAACTATTGGCACCGCCTCAACCCCCTCAAACTGTAGTCCTCGAAAAGTGAGAGGGAAAGAAAGAGATTTCATGTACACATGACTAATACTGAAAGGTCAAGATGCAAACCAATAAAATAAAACTGAAACATACTTAAGTGAGAGACATGCTGAGAAGTGTGAGCAAATAATCAAATGAAAACCTGTGGTGTCGTAAGTGCAAGTAGAGAACAGTGTAAACATCAAATGCCCACTACATTTCATCCTCCTGTTAACATGTATAGGAACTAACGCAGGAACAACGGTGGAACCTCTCTAAACGGCACTTGATAAGTTTCTGCACGAGATACCGTTACTGCTTGCCGTTATGACTATGTTACCCTGCAGACTACGATGACAAACAGCCTCATGGATCAGCCAATCATTAAAAAGGTGTCCAGCAGCTGGACACCCTCATAAAGACTGTCAAACAGTATAACAGCTTGACGATTAAATGCAACCTCAGAATACTGAAAAGAATTACTGAACCAAAAATTGTACCACGTATGGGCTATTCATGCCCGTGCAACCTCTTGTGTGGCTTAATCTCTATCAATCAATCAACTAATCAATAGGGAAGCCTACAGGCTATGCTGCGAAAGAACTCTCGAAATCGTTCACAGGTAATCCCAAACTAAGTAAATTAATAAGTAAATAAAAGATACGTAAAAAAACAGGTAGTTAATTTTAATGAACTAGAGCTTGGTGTAAACATAAACAGGAAAACATCAGCAGCATACGCGGAGCAGGTGAACAGTCGAAACTTCAGAATAGCCTACAGGGCTGGGAACCATTACTTTTAAAAACACATGCCTCACATATCAGTTTAGAGATGTACTCTACAGAGTAGGAAAGAACTGGACCTCACTCTTAAAAAAAGAGAATGAATATTGATGTCATAATTACAATATATAAGATCCTTGCGGGGAAAAGGAGATTAGGTACTGATTAGTTACGAGGATGTCAGAATCGAGACGAGGACTATGGCCATCGAGACAAGAACTGTGGCCAGCGAGACAAGAACTGTGGCCAGCGAGACAAAGACTGTGGCCAGAGAGACTAGGAGTAAAAACTGCCATTTGTTACCCGGGACAGCCACCGTCCATGTTAAATACTCGATGTCTCGCTAATTAATGTCTCCCTGTAGGTTATCATCGAGTAGCTGCCATCCCCCTGCTTGCTGACGAATGTTTCT